CCCGAAAGCGATTTGCAACCTGGGGAGGGTCCCTCGTAAGACTATTTATCTAAAAACCCTTGGAAAAAGATTGCAGCGTGGTTCTATTCTAGCTGTCCGGAAAATATGATTATAGATAGTAATTTAAAACTTTATTCATATAAATTATTAACTCTACAAAAATACTTTCTCGTTAGCCATAGTAGAACCACATTACAGTCTTTTTTCAAGGGCGTTTAGATAAATTTCGATTTTGTATCTGTTTTATTAACGTGAACACAGTATTATCGTTATATCTAAAATCTATTTATCGTTCAAAAATCCCAGATCGAGTTAAAACCCTTCAGTACTTCGAGTTGAAACACTATTTTATTTTTTGCTTATTTATATATAGTTGGCTAGAGCCCATCGAGCTCTACAAGACCATATAAGTTTAAGCTTTCCAAACATAGCTATTGACGGAAAATTTTTGAAAATACTAGAAAGGCTTCAAATTTCGAAAAACCGTTCAGCTACGAAAAATTTGAATATTTTTCATTTTGAATCTGATTCAGCACATGAGACTCAGCCTAGAAATGTTATTTCGAACTTCTTCACATATACCATGGTCAAAGAAAAACTTCGGGCATCTGCATAGCTTCACAGGCGCCGACTTACTTTGCAAACCTAACTAGTTTTTTCTAATGAGAGATGGAACCTTATTTCATATATCATTTGAACTACCATCAGATGTAAAATAAAACTGTAAATTGTTCTTTTTGAAATTCCTTTTCGTTGCTGAGAAAATTCATTTTTTCTGAATCAGAGGCGAAAAAGTTGGAATTCTGCCTGTAGTTGTCAATTTTCTTTATCAGAACTCAACTTTTATGCAATAAAAATATCATGTTCGGAATCAGAATAAAAAACTGAACCGATTACCGACTAATGTCCATCTCGAATTTTTTATTTGATTTTCATTTTTTGATTAAATTCTCGATAATGCACTTTCGAGAATTACTATACATCTCAGTCAGAAAATAAAGTAGTAGTACAACAGTTTCAAAAAGAAAAAAATTCTTATTAGTTTATGCGATTATTTTTAGCAAATTATTTGAATTCTATTTGAAAGAAAACGTAAAAAGTGCTCCTGAAAAATTGTAAATGAATCTTTATAATTTATTCATCCAGTGCTTGTCGTGACAGAGTCTTGTCAGGGACAATCCAAGAAAAAAACATTTTCTGGGTCTAGCTTGAAACCAGATTGTCGGAACATTCAGCTAGCTCCAACTGGGTAAAAGCTAGATTGGAGCTAGATAAATGTTCAAAAAATCTAGCTTCAAGCTAGATCCAGAAAATTTTTTTTTTACTTGGGAAGGTTACGCAATGATTAGTAACACCTCCTCTAAGGGGGGAGGGGGGATAGCATACAAACTCATCTATCCGAAACAAAGACCACCTATAGAGATAAATCTAGATACATTTTGTCTGTAATCAGGACATGCATGACTAATTGTCATCTAGATTACTAATTAGAAATGGGACTTTGAACTACATGCGTTTGCATGTGCAACTAGCAATAGTTAAATTGGCCGATTGTCAGGCGGTAAATCGATAGTTGGAACTGAGGAGAAATCTAGCAATCGCTCGATCACTAGATATCCACTGTGGTCACCAAATAACGGGTGCTGCAAAAGTTCCTGGAATCGTCTTTCTTCTACTAAAACATGCTTTTGAAAAATGAAAAATAAGCTGTTCAGAGTCTATATTTGAAGAGCTCTCTAACTGTATATTCAAAAAACTTCTATCACTTGTGACCTTCAAGCAGTAAGCGCATCTGTGATTGACAAGCAAAAATTACTCCGTAAAAAACGGATGTTGTAAAAGTTCTTGTGCAAATGTCATTTCATTTTTCTTGTGCTAAAATATTTTAGAAAAAAATAACAAGTTCTTCGAATCTGCATTTGAAGAACTTCCTCAGCTACTTTTCTGACCTACGAGCACGAAGTGAATCTTTCAAACACATCGACGTTTGCTCTAGAAAGCGGACTACATGGAATTTTTGGAAGTCTAAAATTCAATGCTGTTGAGTTGAATTGTTTTAACAATGTAAGCTATCAGAACAGACTTTTCTCTGCAAAACGACGTGCTCAAATAGGATATAGGACAAAAAGTTTAGAAGTTATCGTTATTTCGCGAACACTAGTTTCTATGTCAGAAAAACTTGATTTTTCAAAAAATGATAACTTTTCATAACTTAAAAGGATGCTCAGTTTTCAATACGCAAAATAATTCCGGAGAGTCTGTTTTGAAGAAAAAGGTCTACTCTATAATCTCTTATGGAAACCGTAGTTTGACCTCTCATTTTAATGCTGTTACTGTTGAAATCAAAAAGATATACAAGTTTCTTTCTTTACAGACTACATATTAGTGCCCTTCACAGATGCACTTACTGCTCAAAGGTAACAAGTGGTAGAAATTTTTTGAACATACAGTTAGAAAGCACTTGAAATGTAGATTCTGAATAGCTATTTTTTATTTTTCCAAACATGTTTTAGTAGAAAGATTCTTTTACTAAAATTCTTTCTTTTACTTCATTCTGATCACCATCCGTGTGAGAAAATAGTTAAGTGTGCTTTTTGAAAAGTTTTCTTGCCAAGAAATTCAATTTCTTCGATAACAATGAAAACATAATGAAATTGGAGTCGTATGTCGCCGTTTCCTGTATGAAAACTCAACGTTTCGAGTAAAATAATAGCTTTTGCTGTTCACAACCGACCACAAAAAATTATGCAGTTTACGGAATCAGTGTCAAAAACTCAGTTGAAAGATGCGTGTTTTGGAATTTTGGAATTCGAGTAAAAGATCCTGAAGTTTTAACGAAATTGAGAAAAACCAAAAAAATACGGACTAGTCTCTAAAAATATTCAACAAATTAAAAGCTGCTGTTCTAGGAATAAAATTTCTTGTGAGAATATACTTTATTTTTACTTGCAATACAGATTAATTTTCTTTTGGCGTGGGGAGGGGACGGGATAACGAATTTGCAAAAACGAATTCTCCACAACAAATTAGCAGGAGAATAGGAGTTTGGCTCTGAATTCACCGAGAAATTATATATATGGTTTCTCTCCGAGCAGGAGTGGTGTTTTGTCATTTAAACAGTTTCATGAGTTCTCTTCGGAAAACGGGTCCACTCAATAAATACAAATAAAATATCGTAACATTATTGAGATTACTCAATGTGAGAACAATTTGAAATAGAAGATTTTCAATGGCTCGTCTCATTTGACTCTTTATAAGATACATTGTGGCTGTCGAATAGACTTTATACATTGATAATGGCATTGTTGAAAAAATTAACATGAGCACTTGTGCAAATAACATTCGAAGTATTTTCAGATCAAGTTGTTGCCGTGTCTTCGATCGATTAGCGGTAGTGACCATTGATGGTAAGGGTTCAATTTGACGAGAATGCATTTTTCGAATATTGAAAAATGTTAATCCACCAAAAATTATCATACCAACAGGTGGTATTGTACTGAACAATGCAAAAAATATAACACTGTCAAATATGTAACAAGGAAATGTTGTATCCGTTCGGATATAACATACAATCGGCGAATTAGGTACATGAGAATCGTAACAATGAAATATATAGGTGTAAATGCAACATCCGATTAAAGTAACAATTATTATCAAACGATAAGCCATCGATAATCGACTGAAATTTCGTATACGAGCTTGTTCACTGCTCGATGCATATCGGTCAATACAAGCTAACACCATAAACCAAGAAGAAGTAAATTGTGACGGATCAATGATATACATGCGCATTTTACAAAATGCCGATATTGTTGTCAAGTCAAAACCTAAATTTTGACTAATTTTCACTATATAAGCAAAGTATAATGCCAATGTACACGGAATTGCGGTTGCTAATAAATAGACAACGCACGGATTGCTACGTAATGCTTTCCGGCTGAAGACAATAATTGTGAATAGATTACCAATCGTGCCGAAGAACAGAAAGGGAAATGCAGCATAAAAATTGATTAATGGCGTCACATGGAGAATAGACGATAAGACATCATTGATCGCTGTGTTGTTAGTACTCATGATTTACTGTTAAGACTTTTTATTTCAGATCTGAATAAAAAATAAAACGTGGAAAAAATATAATTATACAACACAAAATGGAGCATCCGGTTAACATAAATAGATTCACAAGAATAGAACATTAGATTGGATCTCAACTTTTGCACGTTATCACTGAAAAACATCAAAAGGCGGAAAGAAAAGATTTTATTCACCCAATTTACTAATTGCGAAATGATCCGCAAAAAATAAGACATTTGATCACCAAAAATTATTCCTTGCAAAATGAATACCACAAATGAGATTTTTAAACATCAGATTTAGAATTTAATTAGGTGACTAATTTTGAACAAAAACAAAAACGTAATTCATTTCCGCATTCCGCGTATGCGTATACCCGTCTCGCTCAAAAGATCCAGATTTTAGATGACATTTCTGCAAAAACCTGTGAAACTGCAAATTTTGTATTGACAGAGGTGCTCATACCTGCCAAATGATTCTTTGCTTCTTCACTTTTTTGTTTCGCTTGTCTTACAATGAAATAAAATTTCCATAAAAGGATTTATGACCGTTGTGTGTTGACAAAACAATTTTGATGAAAAAAAGATCAGAAGAGATTTTTTTCTCGATTTTGATGCTTTTTGCTTCAGGAAATTATTCAGTGATCGAGTTTTCTGTTTTGTTTTTAAAGTTTGTTCTGAATCATTCATCGAATTAAATTCTAATGGCGACTATAAACTTCAGTGTAATTTTTGATTCCGGAATGGGATATATGTAGGTTTGTAGAGGAAGAGTTCCTCTGTCTAATGGTGTAGATATTATCAAATTTTGTTGCGTACCGTGAGTGAAAATTAAAGGTAACCTCTCGTTTTTTAAGGAAAAATTGAGTACATGTCAAAAGCTAATTTTGTTTTATAAATCACTCGTACCAGAAACATTATTCAACCTCAAACTATAATAATAAATAGTCGAGAAGTATGTGTCACCATAGCCAAGAGTATGTGTCTGTTCGATGATGCAATACGTCCGACAGATGCCTGACTCTATGTGTGAAACAGAATAAGAGTTAAGTTCTAATGCCACATATAGTACCAATATTAAGCTTCCAGGAAGTGTACTTTATCTGGGATAGAACTCTCTCCTGGGATCGGGAGCTAGCTTAAAACATGGTCCGTGGAGTTAAGGTCTCGTATTCTTTAGTTTATACTTAATTCGCCGGACTCGGCAAATAGGAAACAGAATCAAACTTGATTTTTCATACCGATCAATAAATTAACGACTACTCTCCGTTTCAAAATGGTTGGCACTCGGTTGCTTTTTGAATAACTTTTTAACGAAAAGCGCTAGCGACTTGCGGTTTTCAGCATCGTGTAGAGGACGAATTTCGACGTTAGATAAACAATGACCCCCTCAAGGTGCACCGCCTTCAGGTGGTGAACCTCATCGATCTTTCAAAGAGTATTTTGCCAAAACATGGAAAAAAAATCAAAAAAAATTCCCCGGCGCAGGCTCGAACCACCAGACCTTGAGCTACAAGTCCGCGAAGGAACCAAATCGGTATCTCTAACCGTTCGGG